ACACTCCAGCCCGGGATATATTTCAGAAGAGATCGAGAAAAAAGGAAATGTAGGGCAGGAAAGGGTCAACTGTGCCACAGTCTCGTTGTGGCGCTTGAAGCTAAACGTTCCCGCACCAAATGGCTATTCAAGGAAACAGAGTATTCCTGCGGAGAAGTTTTTCAAAGACATGGGTAACCTGGAAACTTTGCACCGCGCCAGATTATCAGGTCAAACGGATGTGATAGTTCAACAACCTCTACGCAGACATTCTGTCAAATTTAACCCAAAACTAAAAAAAACAAAAGGACAGCAATGTGTGAATGGCACCTAAAATCTAAGAGCTGGACTTGTTTTTGCAAACTATAAAAAAATTATGCTGGAATGGTAAGGTAACAACAAAAGATACCATAGAATAAAGCAGGAAGAAGGTTCTGTAAGGAAAACTAATCCTAAGCTGATTTTGCTAATGGAGTGAGCTTATATGATGAAACACCTACACTTCATTTTCTAGAAATGGAGAGGGCGTGGCTGCGCACTTCATACGAACATGGCGTAGGTTACGTTTCTCGAAGGATGTTTCAAGTTTGAGACAATTGTCATACTGTCTTGTGCTGGACAAAGGCATAATTACAAGTGTACCAAAACGATAAAATACGACCACAAGTTCGGCCGCCGCCGCGTGCAAATGAAGTACGAGGCCACGCCCTATCCATCTTAGGGATATAGTGCATATCGGAAACACGCGCCAACCCGAAGCGCAGCGACTATTAAAACTAATAACCTCACCTGTAGACAATCTCCCTGATTCAGGTAGTAATAGTTCTTTGGATCTTTTGTGAGTCCGAGTTCTTTCAAGTGACTATCATCGAATCCACGTAAAAGATTGTAAAATACGTGGAAGTTCCGTTCGCCGCGTTGTTGTCGAACAACACGGGACTAAAAAAGCCAGCTGTTAAGTCAAAGATTATGTTGACTACTGAAGGCATACCTTTTCCAATAGATAGTTGGAGATATTTCCACCAACAGGATCTCCATTAAAATTGAAATTGATGTGCATGTATTTGCCGAATCGACTCGAGTTATCATTACGGTTCGTTTTGGCGCAGCCGAGTGACTCCAAAATGCAGTTCGATCGAAGGAGGATATTTTTAACCCTGAAAACAAAACTATTGAGTCCCAGTTTTCGCTAAACTTGTTTAAGGCCTGCTAGTGTCGTATTCAAACTTATTAGGATAAACGATAGAGCGTGTGGCACGGGTATACCTCGGGAGGACCATGTTACAACGACGCGGCGTAACACGCGCCATACTTGCATGAGGAACCTAATTTGATTTAACGTGGAGTATGACTAGTCAACTAGCTCGGAAATAGTAGTCAGTTTCTGTGCTCCAAAGCAACGTAGACCCCCGAACTATATCCATTCAGCGCTTTTTAGAATGCGCCACAAGCTCAGCATTTAATTCAAAAGCGTTTACCATTTTATTGCGTATTCAGTCCATACCATTGACTTTTCCAAGACAGCTGGTTCACCAGGTATGTTTTCTTGGAGTTTGGTACAAAAATAAATCGACCCTGAAGGGAAGGGAGACCTACTCATCCCCGGAGGGAATTGTTCTAGACTGCCAGGAAAGACAAGCCATACCGGTGGCGCTTGTCGCTATTCCATCTCTGCGGATGGAAAACGATGTCTCCCTCTTCAGGACACGCCATCGTTAAGATGATCAGAACGGTGGGGGGGGTCGTATTTGACCGCGAGGGAGGAGGGTCGTATTTGGTCTGAGAAAAATTTTTTTGGTAGTTGATTTCTCTTGTTTCACGGACGGTATAAAGGGGGAGGGGGTCGTATTTGGCCGTTGTTGAGAGAGGGACTGCCAAAGATCTATACAACTACTATTTCCGATAGTTGAAAATGATAGTTAAATCCTAGTTAAACCCTAAAATCCTGACGACCTCCTCCCTCCCCCCTCCCGCTCGACAGCAAAATTTTGGGGAAAAACCAGAAGGAAATTTCGGAAAAACTGGTAGGAGGTCCGCTCGACGGAAAATTCTTGGCTGAAAAACTGGAAATTTTTCGGGAAAAATGGTAGGAAGTTGGGAAAATCTAGGAAAGTGGTAGGTAGCATGGGAGGGGGTCGTATTTGAGGATAGAATTAGGGGGTCGTATTTTTCAGGAAATGATCACAACGCGATGGCGTGCCCTGTCCCTCTTTCTAAGCTCAAGAAATATTTGGATATGAAAATAAATCTAAAAATGACCTAGAGTAACCCAAAATCAATGAGATTACAAAATGAAGAGTAGGTGAAAAGACAAACAGGTGAAATATGATCAAAGACTGTAATAAAAATAAAAAAGTGTGGTAAAAATAGTTACATATGAGAATATTTCACCATTCTGGGGCAGCTGCCCATAGAGTGTTGATAAGTATAAAAATAAGAAGCGCTTTATAAACTGAAGATTAAGATAACATGAATAATTAAATGAAACAAAGGCGCTGTTCGTTTTGGGTGGGGCGTTTTGCACTCGCTCGTTTAGTTTGCTAGATCCTGTCGGATTAAACGCCTAATGTTAATGAGATTAGCAGACTCTTGTCAAGGGTGAACGATGCTCCTGCTACTGCACAGCTTCATATAAGCTCACAGATCTCCACAGGATGCATCGGCAATTATCGACGAGAACGTGGAAAATGCCCCTACCAAATCGAACTACACCATTGAAAATTATATAAAATGAGTCAGGTAATTCGAATATGAAGCGAAATCGTCCGTTCCATCTCGTAGTGGCTTTCACACTGGAGGCTTGCCAGCTGTGAAGCAAGTCGCCCGCAAAAGTTTTCATAGAAGTAGTTCCTTCGATTCCATCCCCCACAGTTAACAACCAACTTTTTTTCACGACCTTGGCTGACCCTTCTGATTCTATGGGTCGACTTTTCGCCATATATTCAGCTCTAACTGCCACCATATGGTGTTCGAAGGACGTCCCTAGACATTTCCGGACGCGCTGCTGTCTAATGGTGGTCATTCACGCGAGCCTTCACCATTATGGACTCATTACGAAACACAATATAGCCTTGCGGGTTCAATGATTGGCGCGCTTTGGGTGGATCAGATTACGCGAGCCATGAAAAGAGCTTTATCTACTCACTTACTTACACTTCCCCAACTCGTATTCAGAATGGATTCCAAAACAGTCGGAAAACGGCAGCGGTGAAAATTCCATGGGGCTGTTTTCCCTCATTTGTAAATTACAAGGGGGCCAAAGGATAATCATGGCGCAACGGCTACAGGTACAGTTTTCTTTGTCAGTCGAATGGACTGAATCCTGCTGAGAGGGCACGTCAAATTTTTGAGATTCCCAGCGAAGGGGATCGTATTTGGTCGTTGGAGGGAGACGGGGTCGCGCTTGCTTTGCTGAAAAATGTTTTGTTTTTGGTTGTTGACCTTTCTTTTTTCCCTCTTATTGTGCCTTACATGTATACACTCTGAAAACCTCCCCTCACTCCCACTTGCGACAGTTTTTTTTTTGCGGGGGAAGTGAAGGAAGATTAGAGGTTGGGGAACGGGGAGGTCGAGAAAGAGAAAATGGAAATTTCGAGGTGGGGTAATATTTTGCAAAATTCTTCTTCTACGGCATGGACCTGCCCTGCTTGCTCACATTAACCGAATCATTTATTCCCTAGGGCCAGTGGACTACACCTCACTTGTTACGGAAGATACAAACACGAAAGTGATCGTCGAGTAGTCAATGAAAACCAGTGCGCAGGGGAAAAAATTATCTAGCAACCCAGAAGATCCGCAAGAAAGACGATTGCATGGCGCAACCTCAGGGAGTCTGTTGCATTGACTACTTTGCGCTATTGTTATTCACGTGGCTAACACCAGAGAGACAGCTTCAATCCCTCCTTAAAGAGCCATTATAGCGGGATTCCCCGAATCTGAGCCATTTTAAACCCTTCAATCATCGGGTTCAATGCGGTCGCCGTTTTCCGATTAGCTCGAATGAGAGGTCGGCCATTTGCCATCGCATTTCCGTCATGCAAGCCTTGCTCAGTCAATGTTCGCTTTGTTCGTTAGCTGAACGTCACGACGAGCCAGATGGCCGGGTTAGCAGCGATTTCAAGGGCACTACTGCACGATTACTGCGCGAAATGCCCATACTAGCCACCTTGAACTCTATGAGATCCATACGGGTCACTCTGAGATCATGGTTGGCAGGAGGTGAAAGTGAGGAAAGAAAAAGTTCAAACCTCACTACCACGAGAAAAGTGTGTAATCAGATCTTCGAGCCACTTTTTCTGCAGGGGAACATTCTCAGTTGGGGTTTTAGACCTGTAAGGAACATGGAATACCATAAAAAAGCTCCCCGGACTGCTTCAGGATTTCCCACTCCCTAAACCAATCCCCATTTTGAGAGCTTGGCAGTGTCACATGCAAATGAAGCGACAGATGGACAATGCAAAGCGATGATGGGATTAAAATAGATGGCTAACCGTTATTATCGGGAAACCGCTTGAATTCGCCTTGCAAGAAATAACACCGGTGCTCACTAAAACCAGAGTTAGGGTCACAGTAAGTCAGGGTCTACATTCTTCTATAACTGGATGGGAGGAGACAGAAGACCGTTGTGCCTTCTTTATTGGTGCACCTCTTCTTTCTTACAAAAACGTAGAGCTAACCTCTCAATTTCCTTCTGCTGTTGCTGATTGGTGATCGCAGCCAAATATCGCATGATGATCTTACTGGTCTCTGTTTTTCCAGCACCGGATTCTCCTTAAAATGCATACTTTTGAATAAAATTCACTAAATTTCGCTATCCATTGGTTATGACTCGTTTCGGAAAAACGAGCCCCGCTTAGGAGAACGTTGGGAGAAGTTAGGTTAGTAGAAGTTAGGTTGCTCATTTCAGATCAGCTGATGGGAAAATAAGCGTAAAGCTCAAGACAGTTGTAGGTGTAATAGAGTATATGCTCGAGTAGGCCTATTATAGATGGTGCCATTATGGCCTGAGCCGCTTGGCCCAATACTTGCTCTTATGCGAGCGCAGCATTCCTTGGGCGATGAATGTGTGAAGTTGGGGGAAGACAGAAGTAGCCGTCGTGTCCTTCCTGGTGGCGCACCATCCTAACTTCACGTCGACGATGGAGGTGGCCATAAGCTGACACAATGTCGTCGCCCAGACGATCAGCGCGCAATATGCCTTTGGTCACTCTAGTCAAAATTTTCCAACTTTCCACAGATACAACTTATACTGTACGCTAAATAACTATTGATGCTCGCAACTTGATAACATCCGTATAGCTGCCGACTGAACTCTGCTATCATCACACTTACGGACTCATCCCCATTTATCACGGCCGATGCCTCCTGTGGAGGCCTGTCAATTCCTGCAAAGGAATGCAATAGCATGAGCTTCGTTTACCGTTGACAAGGGTCCGCAGGTTTCATAAAAGTGAAACGTGTAATTTGACAGGAACCAGCAAGAGAAGCTATCGGAAGTGCGAAATGTTCCCCCTAAAGCGAGTAGCGCTCGTAGAGCTACGTTCAGACTTCGCAATACAGGAGAATCATCAAAATCCCCCGTCAGGCGGAACTGCGCCGCCTTACATTTGGCTGCAGAGTCTTATCAGCCCTACGGTACCTCTGCCAAAAACTTCGGCAAATGTTCTTGGAATCTATTCCCCACCGTTACACTGAATTCAGCGAAAGTCAAAACCCTATTATTTTATTTTTGTTCCCATAATTTCGATGACATGTGCCATCCCATTCCACTCAGGTTTAAGCTCTTCAGGCTTCCGGTCAGTTCTGTTTCGCTTTTGTCGGCAATGAACGTATCTAAGCAACAAAGGAAGGCCGACATTTGAATTAGTACTAAATTTAGTGAAAAGGATGCACTGAAGAAAATTTCACTTCAAAACTCGTTACCCGATATGACAATACAAGAGTCACGTCCATAGCGTTTCATCGAAGCGATATGCAGCGTCGGCGATCGCGAAGACATGTGGAGGACGTTCGTAGATCTCTCGTCCCTAAAGTGCGAATTTTAAGGTTTTCAGGCTCAGAGCATGTCATAAGATGGCTACTTTGGCGCAATACAGGGTACAAAAGTCACTGATCCAATTGCCTTTGGCGCTTCAATTTAG